TTCCTTTTTTCCTTTTTCATGTAGCAAGATTCATATGTTGTTCCAATCTTCCTTTCTTGTTCTCTTTGGACTTTTCTCCCCCGATGTGCTGTTCCGTTCACATAGAAATTTCCTTACGGTCCCCACATTTTAGTTTTTACTATTCAATTCCCCATCTCTGTTCACTAGGTAGAATATTCGTGCAAAAATGAATGGATAAGCCGTCGTCTACATCAGGTTCTGATCGTGAGCTAAATATAGATGCGACGCGTACGACCACGGCCAAGTCATCTTTGCATTTTTCGAGCTCTCTACTGTATGCAGATGCGATCCAATCGCTCGGAGGAGGACGTGTAATCACCGAGTCGGTTCGTGCCGAGCGAGTTTTAGACTTGGAGGACGTCCAAATCATTGTTTTGATAACATGATAATACATTGTTATTGTGGTGGAATTTCCCCGTTCTCCATATAGGAGACACACGCGGATCCGAGTTGGCCAATGGGAATGCCGAGCTTAGTCATCGCACGTAAGCCCATTCAGGCGCGAGTTGCTGCGTAAAAGTGTACACGTATGTTCGTGGAGAATGGAGAGCCGTTTGGTCATTTTAATACTGCCGAGCGGTGAAACTGGCCCAAAGGCACCGAAGCCAGGCGTGTCAATAAATTCTAACAGTCATCCTTAGCCTGTAAATCCCTCATCTCACTGTCGCACTCCTTTCTCCTCACCCATGTCGTCGTCTCCGCCTGCTGAGGCGACCGTGAACGATGAATACGCAAAGAGGGGCGTGTTGGGCAAGATATGGCATCCACGACCCAAGCCGCCCGGCTTTGCAGAAGGAAAAGTCATCCCAGAAGTCTCTGCCTCGTACGTCGAGTCTATTTCCATCCTATTTATATCCCCGGGCTTGGCTCTCCCTCTCTTTACATAATATATCGTTCTAACTCTACTCTCTTATTTTTGTATATTTTGTTTCACGCCCGTGATGGTCGTGGTCATTTGTGACGACGCGTCGTATGGGTTACATGCTGATCGCGATCCGTGCCGAACGACTGTAGATGGTGGTCATTCCTCACTTGGTCCTGGCTTACCCCGCTCCTGTCGGCCGGCTTTAGTCGTCCACTTGAAGTTGCAGGTGAGCATTCGTCCAATCTACATCCTCATTTTGTATTTACTGTCTGAATCTGACGAATTCACCTCTTCCCGTTCGCGCTTTGTTGGGGTACCGATCGTATGATTGCCGGTGGGGTTTTATAGACCTTTGGGAGTTGGACGATGCTCGTCGGTCAGATCATATCTCTCCCATTCTCGAACACAACTTTTACGTGCGGTGTCCTCCTGAAAAACGGCCCCGCCATCTCCAAGAACAAGACGTCTTTACGCCGGGCAAGGAAAAGGAAAAGCAACCCGACCTATCCGCTCCTAATGGAGATGAGGGGGATGTGGAGGCGCAGAAACCGTTAACCAAGGAAGAGGAGAAGAGGAGAAAGAAGATGTATGACGAGTCTCTTGTGTGGGCCCTCGAAAAGACGTTTCGGTACAATTTCTGGATGGGTGGTATCTTACAGTTGATTGGAGGTGAGTCTCTTTATCACCGAGGTTGCTGTTGTATGTTGATGTTGTTGGCAGATGGGTTGGCGACGACGTCGCCGTTGGTCACCAAAGCTCTCCTCCAGTTCCTCGCAGAGGCTTACTTGCACGCTCGATATCCCGTTCTCTACCCCAAAGGTCCTTCTATCGGAAAGGGAATCGGTCTCGCCATCGGTCTATTCGCCATGCAGGGTGAGCACCTTCTTGACGTTTATAGATTGCATTGCTGATT